AAATCTATATACGTTCATGTACGACTGAAGCATTTTGCTGTGCACCAGAAATTGACACAACATTGTAAGCAGACTGTACTTCGATAAAAATAAAAATGATAAATAAGTAAATATGTTTCACCAAGAGGAGGCGCAGCTCAGTGGTGGAGTGCTTGCCCAGCATGTGCGAGGTCCTGGGTTCAGCCCCCTGCACCTTCGCTAAGTAAATAAATAAATGGATAAATAAGTAAACTTAATTACCTCCCACCCCACCAAAAAGGTTCTGAACATGCTATTTTTAAAGGCGTACTTTCTTTTAAGCCGTACTTTTCCCATATTTTTAATTGAAGTAGAGTTGATACATATCATAGAAGTTACAAGTGTACAACACAGAGGTTCATAATTTTAAAGGGCATATTTCATTTGCTGTTATCATAAAACATTTGCTCTATTCTTCTGTGTGCCTCCTAACCCCCCACAGCAATATTGCCCCCTCCTCCCTCTCCCCCCTGGTAACCACGGGTCTGCTCCCTTCTGTGTGTTTGTATTTTTAAGATTCCACGTATAAGTGATATCGTACAGTATTAGTCTTTCTCTGTCTGACTTACTTCACTAAACTCAGCGCCCTCCAAGTCCATCTAACCAGGTTATTGCAAATGGCAAGCTTTTATTCTTTTTTATGTGAAGCCAGACTCGTGTTACTGGTTTCCATTATGAAGACTATATTTCATTTACTTCTTGTGTAGGTAATGCATGCACGGAGTATTAGATTCCCAGAATAGGATGCACACACTCCCCAGACACTCTTTTTTCCTTCCAGAGTCAACTAGAGCCACCAATTTATTTTGTGTCCTCTTCTTGGGGGGGTGAGGGAGGTAATTAGGTTTATTTATTTATTTACTTTGATGGAGGTACTGGAGCTTGAACCCAGGACCTCGTGCATGCTAGGCACACGTTCTGCCACTGAGCTACACCCTCTCCCCATTTCTCGTCCTTTGAAGACATTCTCAGCATGGCCAACATAGTAAATGACTCAGGCCACCCCCATTGTCTGCCTTTTCTTCTTCTTTTTCTGTTACAGCGTCCTCACAGTTGGTTAAATACTTGATTTCCCAACCTCCCTTGCAGCCAGGAGCAGCCATGAACTCAATTCTGGTCCATGAGATACAAGCAACGCCTGCTGAGAGAAAACATTGGCTTTTCCAATAGAATGCAGGACCGAGGGCTGGAGACATGGCAGCCACCCTGCAACTAGAAGGCAAAGAGGCTGAGGGGAAAGGCCAACCTGCTATGAAGAGCAGAATGGAAAGAGGCTTGTGTTGGGCAGTGAGACAGGGCTGGGACCTCTTCCTCTGGGCCTTGTGAGAAAATAAATCCCTACTTGTTGACCTCATGCTGTTAGGTTTTCTTTTCCTTGGAGCCAAGCTGTTTCTAATGTGCAAAACAGCACACGCACAAACACACACACATACGCACGTTTCACGGTGACCGAACATTATACCCTCAGCACCTTGATGTTTTCCTGCAGTCATCACTCTTGAGACCATCTTCCCTCCATGCCTGGAGAGTGAGTGGCGGCACCCGCCGCACACGTGTCACAGCTATCTGACCAGCCCTCCGTGCCTTTGAAATGCTCCCAGTCTGTTGCTGCCGCAGGCAACGCTACAATGGACGTCCCTGCCCAGGCTGCTTCTCACACGCCCGTGAGATCACACCCGTAGGACAAATTCCTAGAAGCAGAGATTGGCGTCTTTACGACGCTGGGTCTGCTGATCCTAGCACGTGGCTCGCTCTTCATTCATTCACGTCTGTGTGTGTGCCCCTCAGCGGAATTTCAGCTTCTCCCCTGGAGCTCACGAGCGTCTCGGTTTTAGCTTCTCCGTGCCATGGCTAATGGGCTCTTCTCTCATCGCCCCCCCTGCCAACAGGCTTTTGTGCAGATCAAGGCTCACGCCTGCATTGTTTCTGGCCCACACACCGAAATTGCTCGGAACAGAATTGCAATGGATCCCCTTGGATTTTCCAGGGATTTAATCACATCGTCTGCAAAGCTATTCATTCTGTTCCCTCCCTTGTTCTTTTTTATAGCTCATTTTTCTCATCTCCAGTTGCAAAAATACTGAGTAACAGTGACAATAGGAGAAAGGCTTCCTGAGTTTTTGCTTTAATGGGCGTGACCCTAGCAGCTCCCCATGTGACACGGGGGCAGCTTGGGGACTTACACGGACATGTAGCATCATATCAAGAAAATCTGATCAGGACTGAACGTCGACTGCAGCCGTGGCACTATACCTGGCGTTGACCCTACCCTCCTGCCATAAACGGCTGTGACACTGGGCAAACAGATGAGGCAGTTATTCATGGGCACTGAGCACCAGGTGGAATGGGACTGAGACCCTTGAGAGAAGGAAGATGCTATGAAGTGAGACCCATGTCTGCCTTGGGTTTCCCTTCCAAGGTCCAGAGAGCTGAAGCCAAAACAGAAGTCAACAGCCTTACTGGCTGAGGAGGCAGAGATGAGAGCTGGGAGCTGCTGGGGGGCTGGGGGGCTGCAGCTGGCTGAGCTGGACAGAGACAGGGCACGAAGGAGCTGTGTGCAGTGAGGGCATAAAATTTTGAGTCTGACACCCATTCTCACCGGGGGCTTCCCCACACCAGCTGGGTGTCCTACAATCCAGCTCGATTCTGACACTGTGTACTTGGACACAGCATTAGATGCCTCAGGTTAAGGGCTCAGCCCCACAAGACTGTCCCCACTTCAGACACCAGTGGCAAGTCCAGGCTGTCACCTGGGCTTCTGACTGCCTATAGATTGGGAGGTTCTCAGGAGCCCCTCTTTGAGTTTGTTTAATTTGCAAGAATAGCTCACAGAACCCCAAAACCCAGTGTACTCACTAGATTACCGGTTTATTACAAAGGATATTAAAGGGTATGAGCCAACAGCCAGACGAAGAGTTATGTAGGGCCAGGTCCGTGCACAGTAGCTTTTGTCCCAGTGGAGTTTGGGGCAAGTGTATGCATTCTGCTTCACCAACCGGGAACCTGTGCGAACCTGCCCGCTGGGGTTTTGTGGAGGTTTCCTTACATAGGTGTGACTGATTAAACCATTGACCACTGGTCACAGATTCGACCTCCAGCCTCTCTCCCCTCCATGGAGGTCAAGGTGGTAGGACTGAAAGTTCCAACCCTCTGATCACCTGGCTTCCCTGGCAGCCAGATGCCATCCTTAAGTGGTCCCAGAGTCATCCATTAACATAGCAGAAGTCATCTTTACTGCTGTCATCTCAGGGAATTCTCTAAGTTTTAGGAGCTCTATGGCAGGATCAGGGACAAAGACTAAATGTAGATTTCTTACTATAAGCCACACAATCACAATAAACCTGCATGGGGGCTCCCCTCGGATCCTGGCGAAGGGCCAGGCTGTATGTGAGCAGGGAAGTCTTGCATAAAGCCCAGCAGACGGGGCTGTTGTGAGGCTGAGATGGAGAAGCCAACCATGGTGCCAAGCTGGTGACACAGTTCTTGCCCAGCCTGAGTGGAGAAAGCTCCCAGGGCACCTTGGGCACAGAGCAAGACCCCAGAAAGGCCAGGGTTTAGGAATAAGAATCACACGCTCGAATACAGGCCAAAACCTAAGACGAAGAGCAACCCTGAACCAGACTCACGCTCCAAAGCAGGTGACCAAGCCTCGCACGGCCATACCGGGGTTTCAACTGGCATCCAGAATAAAACAACGTCTTTTAAAAGAAGACAACATGTTCTACACCCCTTCTAGTGAATGAGTGACAATGTCTAGCACATAACAAACAATTACTAGTTATCAGAGAAGCTTGAAAAAGAGATTCATAATTAAGGGAGGCGGGGAATTCCCTAAAAACAGATCCTCAGGTGACCGTATTTTGCAGACCAGAACTTTAACAAGACAGCCACTAGAAGTATGTCCAAGAATTTAAAGGAGCAAATTTACACATGGGGTAACAAACAAGAAGTCTCAACAGAGAAATGGAAACCATAAAGCAAGACCAAATAGAATTTCTAACCATAAGAAAATATCTGAATTAAAAAAAATCTCTGGAGAGGCTGACAGGCAGGTTGGACGCTGCAGAAGAAAGGATCAGTGCGCATGAAGGAGAGAACGACTGAAGAACAGAAAGAAAAAGTACTGAAGCAAAGGCCATCAGCGACGAGGCGATCGCTGAGACAACAGCAGGAGGTCTGACACCTGCGCCCTGAGGGGCTTCCTTGGGGAGGAGACAGATGAGGCAGAAAAATTTTCTGAAGGCGTAACAGCTGAACAGCCCCCAAATTTGGTGCAAAACATAAACTTACAGCTACAAGGTCAGGGTACCCCAAAGCAAGGAGAACCACATGTAGGTACTTTACAAAGTCATGGAAGCCAGAGGCAACTTAAACCACGATGAAACGCCACTCGTACATCCACTGAGTCAAGATGGACAAGAGCGCCGGCACCAAGTGCTGGTGAAACCACGGAGCAAGCCCCTCCACTGCCGCCGCGGGCGCAGAGTGGTGGCGCCCTGCAGACCTCCTCTGCGGCTATGTACCTGCTCCGGGGCCCAGTAACTCCACTCGTAGTCGCTTTTCCAGGAGAAAGGAAGACACAACCACACGCAGCTTGCACGAGAAGGGTTACAGCAGCCCTGTTCCTCGCAGCCCAGACCTGGGGGGCGTCTACACGCTCCTCAGCACGAGACGGAGAGGGGAGTTGCTGCTCGGTCGTCGCAGAAATGAGAGTGAGTTGCTGATACATCCTCCAACGTGGGCGGATCTCACAGGCGTCAGACTGGAGGGAAGGAAGCGCCAGACACAAGGACACGTGTGCTCTGCGGTTCTGCTCCGAAGAGCAGGCAGAATGAGTCTGTGGTGGCGGAAGTCAGGAGAGCGGGTGCCCGCGGGCGTAGGAACAATCTTCCGGGGGGCAAAGTAACCTTATGGGGGGCGGACACACCTTACACCCTGACTTTAGGAGGGACTGGTGACTGGGTGTATACGTTTGTCGAATCTCACTGAATTGCACGGTTCAGATCTGTATGCTGAAATACTGCTCCCCACTCAAATCCTTGGAGATCCCTGGAGAGATGGCTGATCACTGGGAAAGTGTCACTGGGCCTGGAACACCTTCTTTGCCAGAGAACAGGGAAATGCCCAAAGAAGGAAGCACTGGGGCTCAGGGTCAGATGGCAGGAACACATCAGCGTGAATTTCCTGGTTTTAGTGGTTGTATCCTAGGGGCGAGGGAACAGCTCAATGGCAGAGCACATGCTTAGCAGGCATGAGGTCCTGGGTTCAATTCCCAGTCCCTCCATTAAAAAAAATTAAATGGATAAAAAAACAAATTTCTTCAGGACAGCATAGGGAACTACGTTCAGTATCTTACAATTACTTTTAATAAAAAAGAATATGAAAATGAATGTGTCTCTGTATATGTAAGACTGGGACATTGTGCTGTACACCAGAGAGTGACACATTATAACTGACTATATTTCAATTTAAAAAATAAAGATAAAAATAAATTTAAAAAATGTTTAAATAGTTGTGTTCTGGTTGTGTTTAAATAGAATGTCCTTTCTTGTGTTAACTATAGAGAAAAGCATTTGGGGGTGATGGGGCATCAAGTCAGCAGGCAAAAAGCTGAAACTCTTAAGATAAGGTTTAAGATTGTTTAAACGTTTTGAAAGACCTGTCCATTTGAATGCATACAAACAATACCTCAACAAAAGAACACATATGATCAAGTCTGCCGCACGCCTCTCAATGCCTCCCCAGACATCTGAGGAGAAACTCACATGACTTCTGTCTTCTAACATGAATTGTATTAAAATAGTTTCTATTAAACTACCCTTGCCTTCCGTGAGGAAACCCCACTTGGTTTTAGAGGCTAAGCCCTCGAGTGTGCTTTTGACTCGTTTGCCAGCATCTCAGCACTGACATCAGTGAGCTTAGTCTGTGATTTGACATTATTGGGCTATGGTTTTGGAGTTTGGCTATGCAGATTATTCAAGAAACATTTTAAAATGGGACATTTCCCTTAGTTTTCTATAATCTGGAACATTGTATAGTAATGGAGTTGTCCCTTTCTTGAAATGTACACCACTCTTATGAAATTGTCTTGGCCTGATGACTTCTACAGGGGTGGCTTTGCAAATGGTCTGCATTCTAATGTAAACTATGGACTTTGGTTGATAATAATGTGTCCGTGTGTGCTCACCGATTGTACTAAATACGCCACACTGATGAGGGATGTTGAGGGTAGCGGAGGATATATGTGTGGGTGGGGAGGGCTGTGTGCAAACTCTCTGTATTTTCTGCTCACTTCTGCTGTGAACCTGAAACTACTCTAAAAAAATAAAGTCTATTAAAAACAAACAAACAAACACAAAAAATGGTCTGCATTCCTTGGTGTGCTTAGATTTTTAAATCTCTGCAGGGACCAGTTATAACACCATTGTCGTTATTAATTGTAATACTTTCCTAGAAAAGCCGTCTGTTTCGACCCGGCTTTATGCATTTGCTCAGTGCTCGCCAGAGCAGCCCTCACAGGTAGGTCCTTCCCACGGCTGTGATGAGTCCCCTCATGTTTCTCCTGTTTGTTAACGTTCCCTCTCTTGAAGAGGTTTTCTAATTGTTTCTCTATTTTATTGTGACTTTGTCCCCAGAGAATTAGCTCTTGGAATTATTTATTAGTTCCGCCTTTTGGTTTTCAAATCCATTCATTGTTTTCTTTTATCTTTTCTATCTGACCCTTTAAAAAAATCTGCCCTCATCCTCACCGCAACCAGGGCACATGCATCGGTGTCAGTGTCCCAGAATCTCACTCCACCTGAAGGGGCAGCCCCAAGGGGTCCCAGGACACCAGCGCTTTCCTGCCCTGTGTGCTCAGGGCCTGGGCGGTAGGAGCGTCCTTGGGTCTTCCAGGGACCAGAATTGGGAGACGAGTGACTCCTCTTCCTGATTTTGCATTCCTCCCTCTCATCACACCACGGCTTTCTCAACCTCAACCAGTGGGCGACTACTGAGCCCCGGTTTAAATCAACCAACCAAGGAAAAAGTGAGGGACCCTTCCAGCCTCTTGAGCTGAAAATATTGAATTCCAAATCCCTTGTAACTGCACAGGTCTCGGAAGATTTAACCCAATCCACAAGTACGACTTTCCTCCTGGCCGAGGACGTGCAGACACCGTCCCACACACCCCCAGTCTCCTGACAATATAAAGGACAAGGCTTGCAAGCCTTTTGATGTGTAAACCCTCTTTTCCCAAATTAGGTTTGTGCTTACCTGCCTCGGCGTGCTGGGATCTGACTCTAATTGCAGGCTTGGAGGCAGTGAGGGGCAGGGGAGGTGGAACTGGGTGAAAATGCGCACCTGCTTGCAAAGTCACCACATCAGGAGAGGTCACTGTGAGGTTCAGAGGAGGCAGGGCCAGGCCCATCGCGGGGAGGGGCTGTTCTGCTCGGCGCGGTTATCGCGGCATTCCGACGGTCTGGGTGGTCCTCCATGTCTCTTCCCCACTTCTGGGGTCTGATTCTGTCCCAGGCCGTGCCCTAGCCTTCCCAGGGACCTGGGGAGAGGAGGTCAGTTCAGCCCATCTGGATAAGGCTCTGTGTCTGTCTGGAGCACATCCCCTGCACAGCCGTAGGAGAGCAGAGATTCCTTTAGTGATGGCAGGACACACTTGCTCTCTGGCCGAGCCTTGAGCTCAGGATTCCAACATGCTGCACAGGTCGCTTCATTTCCTTAGACTCTGGAGCAGAATAGGGCACCAGCCTTCCCTGCACGTGCGCGTAATCCCAGCCGAGCACAGGTGGCCGTGCGGGCGACTGTCTCACCACTGGGTGCCATGGGCTCCCACAGTCCCGCCGTCTGGTGCACTGGGTCCTCACAGCCTCCAAGTCTCCCCTTTGAAGGCCTGCTGGCTGCTGGTGCCAACACTGCAGGGGACGAGATTCGGTCTCTGGCCACTGCAGGCAGTAAGGGAGGGAATGGGGAGCCACAGGGGAGCCGGAGACCGGGAGCCCAGCTGGGCCTCAGAGATGCCGTCACACACCCACCCCGTGCTGCGGGAAGGGCCCCATGATCACAGGTCCTTTGAGGCTCCTCCAGGCAGGAGGGGGAGTTGATTTCAGCTCTTTGGACAGAGACCAGCCTTGTGACCAGCTCTGACCAGAGAAGGCAGCCTCTACCCTCGCTCTCGGGAGCTGGCCCCACGGGGAGCAGCTCTGGCTGGTCTGAGAGCCTAGAGAGGACTTGGGCGCCGGCCGCCAGGCCTGTGCCATCGAGAGCCACCAGACCCCAGGGGACCCGCCAGCGACACTGAAGCCCCCCGGGGAACTGACCAGCAGAAGAGCTCAGCCAAGCCCGGCCACACAGTCAGTCCGCGGCGTGTGAGCCGTTCCTGCCACAGGTGAAGGAGTGTGGAAACCAGAAGACGTGGCCCCGACACGCAGCTCCCAGACCTTGCCAGGGATAGCTGCCCCGTGACATGCATTCCCAGCTGAGACTCCGAGGCCCCATTACCACTGCTCAGAAGAGCTGGCCATCCTGGTCAGACACAGGAGCCCAGACCCACCTCAGTCTCCATCCCGGCCCTCACCCCAGGGGGTCGACCTCAGGACGAATCCGGGGAGCCCACTGGGGGGCCTCTTACCTGATCCGCAGCCTCACTCCAGCACCTCAGTGTGCTACCTGCAGATGAGAGTGGTAACCGAACCCCCAGTGGCCCTCGTGGGCGCCGGGGCGGGGGCGATCCCGCGAGTACTTTGTGAAGTGTCTGGAAGGAGGCCTGGCCTGTGGAGAACAACGTGCGCTCCAAGTCAGGCCTCATTCAAGGGCAGAGAGCTGAGGTTCCCGGATGGGGACCTACGGGGGACCGAGTCGGGAGGCGCCGCGCGGGATGATCACGCCAGCCCTGCGCCCCAGCCCACCGATCTCTCTCTGCCGCCCTGAGATGTGCTGGCACCCGGCCTCGGCCGTGCAGGCCACTGGGCTCAGGCTTCTGCCGTCTCGCCACACAGCCCCCAGGACCCCTGCCAGCCGCCAGTGGCCCCTCGGGCGGGGAGTCTTCGCAGGAACTGGCACTGACTGGCTGAC